AAAACAAATTATAATGTTGAATTGTGATTGTTTATATCAAGATCTTTGCATTCCCTTGTCCAACACAACTCAAGTTGAGAAATATCATATAAGTGAAATCATAAATGAATGAGAGAAATACATCAATAACACTGAAATATTTCAATTTAACAAAGGTAAACTTTTGCTATAAAAAATGTGACTACATTAATTAATTAAATAGCCAATATTCTTCTATTTTATTTTTTAATAAAAAAATATAAAATCTCATCTGCTTCTTGAACGTTTATTACTTATATAATGGAGAAGAATTACATTTTATGATATCACAAGATTTCGCAGCTTCTTGATTTTTGGATCATGCTGTTTAATAGTGCTCAATTGAAAAAAAAAAAATTATGTATGTACTGTTTTAATTAACAAATGGCTGGTATTCAGGAAGAAAATCAACAGTTTTTAATAGAAGTTCGAAATTTTGACAACTGATGATACTTCAAATTAATAAATGCAATTCATTGAAAACATGAACTTTAAAAAGTATTCAAAATGAAGTGGAATGTCTCGTAAACATTATTAATAATAATATTGATTATATTAAGATTACAAAAGTTAAAGATGCCATTGTGAAAAAGTAATTATTTCCTGAAAACCTACCATGCCTGTAGATGTTTCTTATTCAGTAAAAGAGCAAACCATACCCACATTGTGCACCACAATTTTATTTTTATAGATTTATTTCATATTTATTGTGCAATTGTTAAGATTTATTTTTATTGTTAGTGTAGTAATTGTTTTTTAACAATTGTCATTAGTATTATTTGCTAAGTATAATTGAACTAGTTCTGTCATTCCGAATATATACTTTGGTAATTGCAAGCGGAAATACATTATTTTCCTAGATTTTTTTTTATGCTAGTCACCAAAAAGCTTATTAAATGTATGTACTAAATTCTATATTATATATATTTTTTTTAAAAACTTGTTTTTGTTACTTTTTGTCTTGTATTAGAAAACATTTTACAATAAAGTTGCATAGAATGCATGTCTTTATTTTAAGGTAATAATTTCATTACATCACAAATTTGGTTTAACTCAATAAAATTATTTAATAGCCCAGTGATTGCTAATCTAAAAAAAAAAAAGTCTAATTCGGACTTAAGTATGGGTAAGTTGGAAATAAACTTTTCAAAGCCTATTGGAAAATGTTTTAAAATCTTTAGTTAGATCTGCAATAAACATGATGATAATATACTAATATTTCCCCCTGCAGCTAGATGAGATTTAGCTGCTGCTTTACAGATTTATAGTAATATAATACTTTTGAATTGATGTAATGGTATCTCGAAAACAATCAATGCTACTAAAAACATTTTCCTGACCAATGCAGAGCTTGGAATTGTGAACTAAATCAATAGTCACATTGTTTAATCAAATCAATACAATATATGTGTTAAGATTAAGCTCACAACTGTATTTCAAGTATTTGCTTTATGACTAATCAGCTACTTATAATCAGAACATATTGCAACAATAACAGACAATAGTTTAACATTTTCGACTATCCAGTAAATCAATTGCCAATGTTTTTATTTCTTCGTAAGTATTTCTTGACCAGAGGTGCCTGGAAGTGGGTTTCATGGCGCAGGTTGCGCCATAAAAATTTATGAGGACACTTTTTGATGGGGTTTTCAATTTTTGAGGGGAGCACTTTTCGACGGGGTTATGAATTTTCAAAATGAAAAGTTTCAATTTAAAAGACAAGTGGGAGCATGGAACAGATCGTAGGAGGTGCAATTGTATATTATGTAGAAATATTTAAATTCTACTTTTTTTGCACTGTTTTTAAGAACAAGAGGGAAATAAAATATATTGGGTGGGGTAGGGTTCTCAACATACAAATATTAGACGCTTTTATCCTAAATGATTTTGAAATGCAAAAGTTATGAGGCTCCTGACATTTAAGCAAATTATGAAGTCCCTTAAGTTTTTGTTATTAAACTTAGGTTGTAGTTACATGTTACACGTAATTATATAATTTTAGTTAAAACATATAAAATATAATTTGATACTATATTTTATTGTTATAATTTTGTGCTGAAAATTAATTTGAACCACTAGTAGCTTAACTTTCAAACTATAAAAATCAAATGTACCAAGGCTGGTAGATGCAAAAATACTTGTAAATATGTAGCTACATGTTTAAAAGTTATTAAAATATATATTCAAAATAAAATTGACAGCTCTTTATCTATCAATTAGTTAAAGAAAAGTGTTGTCTCCAATTTGAGACCTTAGAATTTAATTCCTTGTTGATAGCAGGATTATTTTTGAGATGTTACATGAATATATCTGCGGAATCTATTTACAGTGGACTTATTGTGTTATGTGGGTTTTGAGTAATGTTTTTTTTGTCAAAAACTTAATATTTTCTCTTTCTCTGTGTTTAATGAGTGAAGATTTACAAAACTATTACTGTGAAGAATACTCCTATTTTGTAATATCAATATCACGTAGTCTACTAGACTCAAAGAAAGAGAAAAGAAATTAAGTATAAAAAACAGAAACTCAAAGTCAACAAAATTGTACTTAATCCACTATTCAGAGAAACCAAAGACATATTTTATTCATTTTTATTAGTGTTTTAAAGCTTGTAGGCCTGTCCTAATTAAGGGATATAAGGTCTAATTTCCTGTGGAAGTTAGGAAATTGTATCTGAAAAAAAAAGTTCCTTTATTCTGAAAGAATAAATCATCAGTATCTTATCTTTTAGCTCAAATTTTTAAATAAAATATTTAACCTGAAAAGTGGAATGAATAATGATGATAAGCCAAAATTATTGTAAGAAAAACATTAATATTTGGTACACATTTCGTAATGAACGTCCATGAACTATGGTGTGGTTTGGCCAAGCATATATTGAACCATCTGCCATAAGATTTGGTGAGAGCTTTTCACTTTGTGAAGTCTGCTAAAGAAAAGAGATGTCGGCGGTTCTACCATAATGATGGACAGGAGTTTTTTTATCTTTTAAAGGCTGATCGATAAAACAGGAACATGGTCTAGAAAAGAGTCTAATCACATGATTCATGATTCATTCTTTCTTGTTGTCTCATCTAAATACTATAATTTTTATAAGTTCAAATTTAAATTATTCAATTTTATTCAAATGAAAATGAAAAGGCAGTTATGAATTCCTTGTAATATTAAGAAAATCAAATTGTAACAAAAATAGAATATTTTGTATGTATATGAAGGATTAAAATAATTAAATAATACACATGCATTTTACTATATAACTACAAACATTTTTAACATATTTAAATTTTAAGATTAAATGAAGTATATTAATGTATAGTAACAAAACTGTTTTTCCCCCCTACCTGGTCATTATTAGTGTCATATGTGGTGTTTGGTCTAAAGGTTGCCGAACTACTCCAGCAAAAGTGGAATGGTCAAGATTCACTCAGTGGATCCAGCACAAAATAAGTTTCCTACCTACCCAGGCCAAATTCATCCTATCATTGGTTGGCTTTAGGTTTCTAAGACTTTAATTCTGTTAGCCATCAAAACATCCAATTTTATTTCAAAATCATTTTTCATTTCAGTTCAAATACAATATTTGTAGATGCTTTAACATTAGAGGCGGCTGCAGTAATTGCCAGTCAAGTTGTCAGACACTAGGCCTTCTCATGATAGTATGGGCATCCGCTCCAAATGCTCTGTTGACCGCCAATAGCCAGATTTGTGTGTAATATGATCTTAGGATATATGAGAGCATAGAGGAAGTTGACGAAGAGAATGTTAGCTTTTTTTGAGATTTTGATTGAAATTATACATTTTTTAACTGAGGCTATTCCTATTAATTTGATATCCTCATAATACATTCAATTCGCTATCCTTATTTTATATATTTTCAACCATACCAGTCAAATTCTAAAAATTCTATTCTGAAACCTTTGTGAACTACCTCATATGGATGATGAATTAATAGTAAATTTTAAAATAAAACAATATAGGAAAAAAACCTTAAAGATAAAGAATGTCATAGAATAAAACAAGACATAATTAAGTAACGCTTGTTTATTTTTAAATTGAAAATTTTAATATGTAAAAATTTGGTCAAACGATGCCTATTACCTTAATAATTTTATCCAAACATATTTGAAATATTTTAATATAAATAAAATTAATTTATTTTGAGAATAAAAAAATCCCAAATTGATATTTAATTTACTCGTAAATTAATATATCAATCCAAAAGTACGTTGCGATCCTGTTGTTGGCCTCTTGGTGCCTCTAAAAACAAATATATTTGATTTTAATGGCTATCAATAACTGCTAGCCACTACTTTTTCCCTACCTACCATAGGATTGGTTGCCACAAACTGGCCATTTAAGCAGAAATACTCCTGTGTTCAGGGAAACAAGAGAATTATTTATAGATTGTCACTAATGACCTCATGGGCAGTCACCTTTAGGTTATCTAAAGTATATTTATATACAATGAAAGAATTATTCTATTCTATTCAGTCAGCGCAACAGCTCAATGCTGAGTCTTGGCCTCCTGTACCATGCTCGACCAATTATTTCTATCCTGTGCAGCCACCATCCAGTTCCTACTACCAATTTATGTTTAAAAAAAAATGGTGCCTGCTTCCCGATTAATATCCTACAAATTCTATCCAAATAAAGAAAGTGTTGGGATCCTGCTTTTATGTTTTGATTCTGAATATTCCAGATTGTTCATTTATAGTTGCAAGATGGATAAGAATGATAAAAATGAGGAAATTGTTTTAGTGCACTTACTGTGCATTTTTTAAAATAAAAAAATGTGGTTGAAATTCACAAAAACATTCTTAAAAGTTTAGCCCTATCAAAAATGGCCGTTGTGACTTTTTGCAATAAACTGACTACTTATATTTTTTTTTTCTAATCAGTTCCTGAGCAACACTAAATGAAAAACCTTCTTGAATGAACACCATGCCGTTAGTTTACTGAGGCCAATATAAGTATTTATGTACATACTATGAAAATTGGAGAGTGGATTATATTTTATTATTTATTTTATTAGTTGTTAAGCATTTAGTTTTTGAATTATATATCTTTTTAAGTATAGAAACTTTTCATATACTTTTCTTTAACATTATTCTCATTTGCATTTTTTCCTGTCAAGCACATCCATATTTGTACTTTCAGTGGTGTAATTGTAATTTATTCCTAATAGGAAGACTGAAATCTTAGGTTTGTTTTATTAACCTTACTGTCCACATTTTATTTCTATCTTCTGCCTATTTCTTTTTTCTGTGCAATGATGAAATGTAATCCTTTTTTAAAAATGATTTAATAAAATTTTCATCAAAAGGACCCAACTTAGCATACTCTGTATTATCACCATACTTTGAAATGGTCGATTCTGGGACTATGAGTGGTGTTAAACTCCATACATCTGACTTCTTTTCATCAAAGAATTCTTTGTCTCTTTCACTTCTCTTAGGCATACTGTTTTCTAACAACTTTAATAATGCTTCAGCACCATCTTCAGCTTTTTCTGTTGTTTCTTTCATTAGAGGCTTTGCCTCTTCTTTTGAGTAGTTTGCTATAATGCTATTTATAAAACCCTCCAGAATTTTATTTTCTACTTTTTTATTGCCTTTTTCAAAAGCTATTTCTGATGATCCCTTTAAATTAGCTTTATCAATTATCCCTGTAGAGTCCGCAGATTCATCTTCACTGCCTTCATTGTCTACCTTAGGACTCAAGACAAGTACAGGCTTTAAAAGATTTATAATGTTTGAAATATTCATTGGATCGGCTTCTCTCTTAATTTTAACACCGGATTGAATAGGATTTGTTGGTATTACCATTGGCTCATCGCTTACATTGAGGGATATTGTTTTATCTTCATTTAGGTTTTCTTTAGTATTTGAGATGCTAAAACTACTTGAGCTACTTAAACTATTTAAGCTTGTAGATTTTTCATCTTTGGGACCAATTTCGTGAAGTTCGTGAAAGTTTTGTATGTTCCATGTTGATCTCTTACAGTGGCTATCACTGTCACATAAGTCTATACTGCAGTAAGTTGACATTATCTTGCACGGCTCCTCAGTCGCACACACTTCTTTTTGTTTTGCATTTATTATTAGTACTTTAGTTTCATCAGTTTTACTATTGTCCTTAAGATTCATTTCAATTGGTAAATTATATCCATTTATTGACTTCTTATCATCATAAATATCTTTCATTTTTATTTGGGATATAATAGATTTCCTTTGTCTATTCAATGATTCTTTTTCCAACTCTGTTTTATCAAAGTTTTCTTTCAATGATTGGTATTGTTGATTTTTTTTTTCATTTGGAATGTTAGTTTCACCACCAGTTATTAATACACTATTATTTTTAACTGAAGCAGATATTTTCAAGGGTTTCTGAACTGTTCTTTGTTGTTTAGATGAGTTTGTGGACATATCTTTTGGTGATAATTCGATGCTTAATGTATCTGGAGTTTTTTTTACTTCTGATTTCTTCATGAATTCTGCATGTAAAATTTTGTTTTGTAAGGTTTTGGGATCTATAGAGATTGTTATTAAGTCATTATTTTTGTTTTCAGTGTTAGCAACATGATCGCTTTTTTTATTAGAAATTGAGGTTGATTCAACAAGTTTTGATTGATTCATAAACATTGAATTAGCAAAAGGCATAGGTTGTAGATAAACATAACTGATGTTAGGTACTACACCATTAGCTAGTGTCAATGGAGGCATTGAAGGGGATTGGACATTTACAATTGGCATTTGAAATTTATTTTTTTCACTGTGTTCAAAATCATTGTTTGTTAAATTAGACGGAATGGCTGGTTCATTTTCTGAATATTCTGTTTTTGTGTTCAGAGCTGCATTTATATCTTCAGTTTTTTCTTTGTCGGCACTTGTCATTGATTGGTTTGTTAAATTAATCTGTGTTTGATCTGATAACTGTTGATTAGGTACCATATTTATTTGGTCTGAAGCATTATATACTGAAGAAGAAAGATTGTTGCTAATATTATTTGTTTCACTGAATGGTGTCGGATCTTTACTATCACTTTTAGTGTTAGAAATAATTAAGTTATCATTCCATGATTTGTTGTATAAGACATTTTTCTTTTCTTTCTTGTTCTCTTTTGTTGCTTGTGTTTGTTGTTTTTTACTAGAAAATATAGATGACATTTGTCCTTCTTCATCAAATGTTCCACGTTTTATCATTAAATTTTTTGTCTTGTTATCATCATAATTGTTTTGATGAAAACAAGCTTTTTCTTTATCTAGGTCAGAATTATTTACTGTATTGCTTTTGTCCAAACCAGTATTTTGATTATGTTCGATACCGATTGGTGATTCATATTTGTTGTATCCCATGTCCAGATTATTGTAATGATCTCTGAACTTCCATTGTGCCCTCACTTTTCTTTGTAATTCACGATCAAGATTAATTTTTGATACTGGAATTTGATTACTGTTACTCAATCCTCTCTTTTTTAGACCAAGCGACCTTGATATTGTGCTTGATCCATGAACATTTTCTAGGTTTTCATTTATATCGCACACAGGTAATTCATATTTTTTTTCTGTCCTTGTAAATCTCCGAATTACATCTTCATTAAAATTGTTAGCATTGATAATATACATTTCAGGTTCCTTGTACTTAGAATAATGATTAATGTGCAAATAAGAAAGAGGATTTTTTCTTCTAGGTCTTAAGTGCTCTTGATTATTTGTCCTTTTTTTAATGATTTTTGTATCATATTCACTTTTGTCTGTAAACTTTTCCTTGTTCTCATTAAATTGATTTTTTATTGCTGTTTCTGGCAGCAGATGGTTAAGACTGTTTATTGGAATGATGTTTCCTGATTTCTTATTAACATTTAGTAAATTCGATTTTAACCCAGTTCCATCATGCTCTGGAGATTTTTTTTGTCTATAATATTCATTTTCATAATCTAGTGCATTACCACTACCAACTTCTTCCTTGTAGTTTGAATCTTTATTGTAATAAATGTTCTTGTTGATTGCTGATTCTTTTCTTGTTGAAAGACCTTGAAAAAAATTATTTAAAAATATTGGTAAAATGATAAAGAAAAAATATACTTGTTAATTATGTGATGGCTGTACTTTTTCCTTTAAAAAAAATTACATACCATAACTAAATTAAAATCAGATTTAATGCACACTTTAGTTTGTGGTAAAAAATGACAAATGAATCTATATGAGTTTATCGGATAACTTAGTTTACCGAACTTTAAATAATTAATTGTGGGTTGATGGTTGACTGTCACAAATAATGAAGAGAAGGATGGTTGGGGCGATAAGTCAGAAATAAAAATGGCAAAAATAAATAATAATATTTATTTTAACATTGGCCGATGTTTCGACCCGAAGTTCAGGCCTTCATCAAGGCTATGAAAATAAATAAATAATAATAACGGTTACAAATTGTGGACTAAAGAAGTAAACATAATCAAAATAAGGTGACATAAGTACTAAAATAGTAATCTTAGAATAAAATGTAAAACAGAAAAAAGGAATATAAAGTTATATAAGAAATAAAAATTGAGATATTGTAAATAGAATAGTTAGATAGAAAATTGAGATATTGTAAAGTCTATCAAAATGTACTGACTATATATAATAGAATAAAGAGTTTAAGAAATTATATGATAGCATAGTTCAATTTTTTCCCTCATGGAAAACATTTTGATTTTTGCCAATTTGTCCCCATAATAATTTAAAAATATTTTTTTATTTGTAACCTTTTTGCATGTTGCATGTTGAGGGAGGGAAATCTATTCTTGCATGAACCATATTGGATTTTAATTATTCTTGCCTAAACCTTCAACTGATGTTAATGAGAATTCATAAGTTTTTTATAATAAAACAGGAATAATAAAATAATTATTTTTCATGTTTCCTATAATTCATTATTGTGTGCTCAGATGGACATCAGCCTGTCTAGTCATCTCTAAGTAAAACTAAAATTCAGTCATCTTAATGGATTAAAAATTATTTCATTGGTTCATGTTCTTGGTTTGAGCTTACCTTTAATATTATTAATTTCAAATACAATATCGTTTAACAACTTCCACTTATCCATATCTAGAGATGGGCAATTAGGAATACAGGTCTGAACAGAACATAATGGAATGTTCCACCACTGGAATTTCTTCCAGTTCTCATTCCATTCCATCTTTGTTCAGAATAATTTATGAACCTGGATAGAGAATAATGAAGCAAATATGCGTAATATTTAAACGAGTAAAAAATCATTGAGCCAGAGGAATATGAAGATAAACGCAGAGGGGTACAGTAAAATGAAAAAAAAAAAATGTAATGGAAGTTTCACGCTGACTCTGAATTTGAAGTTACCTAGTGAAATGTCCCATTACGTTCGGAGATATATACAAATAAATTGCGAAATTTCTGCTCCTTTTTAGTTTTTTGGATATAACTATGCATTTTATCAACGAATTTATTGTTCGAAGGACTTGGGACTGAAATAACTGAATGCGTCGGGCTGAAGACCCCGCCCCCCCCCCAAAATGGTAAAATATAACCAAGTTTTATGGAAAAATATATTAAAAAATTATATCTTAAAGTATTATTTTTCGTGTAATTACATTTTAAAGGACTTAAGGAATCACTTAAACACCATTTCATATAGATATTTAGTTTCTTTCTTTTTTTCTAAAGTAATTATCGCCATTTTTATGAAAAAAAAACTTTCGGGCTGAAGCCCCCCCCCCAAAATTAAACTCTGGATTCGCTAGTGATATAGCTTATATATATGCTATTGACATGAGAGACATCTAGATTCATAATAATTAAAAAGTTAAGGACCGAAATTGGCTGCAAAGTCCAAGTGCTTTCATAGAATTCAACGTTTTCGCCTATCGTTCACCTTTTCATTTATTAACGTTTATATCTGAGCTCCAAAGGAAATTTAATGATTTTTAAATTAAATTTAAGCTTATATAGATTCGTAATATACGAGTAGGAGAAATACCGTTTAACTGCTAGGAAGTTAAAACTGGTTTTGGTCATTAGTTTTTTTTAATTTTGCTATGGATTTTTATGTCCCTCATTACGACAGAGTATATAAAAGCTATATTATTTGTTCATAAATTCTAGTTATGTTATAAATATAATAAAATTAACCGTATTTAGAGAAATGAATAGATATAAAGAGCCTAAGTTGAGTGCGTTAGATAATACGACTGAAAATGACTTCGTGGGACATGGAACATGGACATGGGATTTTAGGAGACTTTTCATGGTTTGTTCTACATTCCATAAGGAACTAATTTCCGCATTTACAGCCAATTATGAATTTTCTTGATATCAAATCCTAAATTTACTGGGCTAATATCAACATACCTACTTTTTTTATTAGTGAAAATCTCTTTCTGATTAGTTTCGTTTTTCTACCACATGCATTTTGACGAAGTTTTATGTTGGATATAATATGAAAGATTATATATACGTATACGAATGTCGATAACAATTTTTTCTTCTTTTTTTTCAATTCTTTGTTGAGAAAAACTACAATCTGTCACTGGGAAAATTAATATCTGATCTCTGAGCCAAGCCTTTCTCCCCACTCGTGGAAGAAAAGGGAGAAGTCGTGGCAATCCCAGCGCCTCTCATTTAGCCTCATTGCTATAGTATTAAGGACCAATGGAGGCTGAGCAGAGGCGTTACAACTACAGTGGCTTAATAATATTATTAAGCCACTGTAGTTACAACCAGACATCCATGGCATGAGTGGAGAATCTGGCCTTTGCCAGAACTTCAATTTATGCTAACAATAGATCTCTGGGCCAATGCCGCTTAAACTTTCGAGCAGGATTGTCGGGATGGGTAGAGCTAGATATGGATTGTGCAATTGGATTGGGATGATATGTAAGTTTTTTATGGAATTTGGAAAATATTTCAGGAATTAGGTCTAGGATAAAGGGGATATTGAGATCTTGGTGTAGGGTTTTGTTGGTAGCGTAGAACGGAGCATCAACTATTGTTCGAAGGACTTGGGACTGAAATAACTGAATGCGTCGGGCTGAAGCCCCCGCCCCCCAAAAAATGGTGAAATATTACCATGTTTTACAGAAAAAAAAATATTAAAAACTATCTCTTAAAGTATTCTTGTTCGTGTAATTACATTTAATAGGACTTCAAGAACCACTTAAACACCATTTCATATATGTAGTTAGTTTCTTTCTTTTTTTTTCTAATTAATTATTGTTATATGTACATGAAAAAAAATCCTTCGGGCTGAAGACCCCCCCAAAATTAAATCCTGGATACGCTAATGTCGGAGTGTAAAGGTAATATGTTAGCATTTGGATTCATTTACTTTAATGCAACCATTTATTACACCAATGCGCAATCAGTGAGAGATGGCTTTACAGATTTAAGGATGCTATTTCGGATCAGAGCTGGATGATAAGATTGCGGTGTCATTAGCCTAATGTCAGCGGTAAATAGGAAGTAAAGCACGGCATCCAAAACGCTGCCTTGAGGAACACGGGATAGATATCGGAAAATATTGTTTCACAGCGTACTCGAAAGGAGCGATCGGAGAGGTAGGATAGAAGGATTAGATATAAAGACTCTGGGAGATGGATTTTAAGCTTTAAGTGCAGCCCGGGGTGCCATATACGGTCAAAAGCTTGTGATCTGTCCAGAAATGCATTTTTTTTCAAGGGCTGCTGATATGATCAACGACTCGGAGTCCTTGTTGAACAGTGGAGTGTTTTGAGCGAAAACCAAAATGATGGAAACGAAGATTTTGAGATTCTATAAGAGGTAGGATTCGGTTCAAAAAGATTTTTTCAAAGATTTTTTTAAAGAACTGGAAGTAGGCTAATTGTTTTGTAGGATGTCAAGCTGTTGGGAGATTCGTTGGAAAAAGGAAAATAGTGGAATGTTCCATAATAGAGGGAAATGGCTGGTACGTAGGATGCAATTATAGATATATGTAAGGAATATGACTGCTTTGGATGGAAGTTTTCGAAGGATCTATTGGGTAAAGAGATCATATCCAGGAGATTTAGGGAGATTAGTTTTTGTAAATGGAATTTTACTTCGGAAGGATGAATCGCTTTAGTAGATAAAATAAAGTGAAAAATCTTTTTTCACTTTTATTATCATTTTACTGTGAAAAAACTTTACCCCTTTTCACTTTTTAAAACCTGCTAGAAACAAATCCCTACTAAAATATTCCTCCTAAAAATTGACCGATTAAAGAGTGCTAACCATTTTCCGCTATACAGTGTCTCGTAAGTAGAGGGAAATTTGTATAGGAATGATAGCAAACTTCAAGAGCTACAAAAAAGTTCATATAAACAATGGGCCAATTTTTAGTAGAAAATTAGGAAATTCAAGTTTTGTGTTTTTTTTATATGTCATGTTTTTGCCGAATAAAAAGCGATGACTAAAAAAATATTTAATTTAAATAATTAACAATTGCTTCACTGTAAACTAGACAAAATTTACTTCAAATGAAAGTAGAATTTGTCCTTGTTACAACCATTTAAAGAGGACCTTCGAGAAGCTAAACTAAGCCAAGTTAGCTTTATGAAAAAATCATAAATTATTAGCAATTTTTTTAATCAAGATCCAGATGTACAGATACCCAACTTTTATAAAAACGTTCTCGTTTAATTAGCTTTAAGTCCATATTAATTAAGTTGAGGTTCATCCAACAAAAACTTGAGATTCACCTTAACTTGTGTACAAAAATAATGTGATTTCATATTCTGTCACATAAACGTATCCGTGTTTTCAGAACAACAATTATTACAATAAATTGTTGCAAAAGCTTGTATTTCTTGTTTTCCATGATTTGGGTTAGATGAGACCCTCCTATCGTCCCCCAGTTTTTGCTTTTTTATCACCGTAAAATGATAGAGGGGCCCCTCATAGGACTCCGAATATCGTTATTTATTTCGTATTTATCAAGTACCGTGGTATATTTGGCCCCAAAAATAATTGATTCGTGAATTTCTTGTATATTTAAATTCCTGAAAACCACTTATATTTATATATTATCCTGATAAGGTGGTCCCACTTCAGACTCTAGCCGAGAGCCCCAATCGGAACCAAACCGGGTCTAGATTGGATTATGATACACATCACGGGCGGATCTACGGGGGGGACTTTCGGGCTGAAGCCCCTCCCAAAATGGTAAAATATAACCATGTTTTATCGAAAAAAATATTAAAAAAGTATCTCTTAAAGTATTATTGTTCGTGTAATTACGTTTAAAAGGGCTTTAGAAATCACTTTAACACCATTTCATATAGGTAGTAAGTCCCTTTCTTTTTTTCCAAAGTAATTATAGTTATTTTTATGAAAAAAACAACTTTCGGGCTTAAGCCCCCCAAAAATAAATCCTGGATCCGCTAGTGATACACATTATTGCCTAAATACACGTTTTATTTATTATATGTGTATATATATATGGATAGTATTATATGTGTATATATCCCCCTATTGTAGGGATAGGCACCCCTACACTAGAGATCTGAGTGAAAACACAGAGTTGATAACCTCTGATAATATTAATGACAAATATTTGAAAAATCATTCTTTAATTTTTTTAAATTAAAACAAATTGTATTTAGACAATTATATTAATTATAATACATCCCAGACCATAAACAATTAACAACAATTAATTGCAGTCACTTTTACTGAAAACATGGGTACTTACAGTATGGGTAACAAGATGAAAAATCACATCATTTTTTTACCCAATTTGAGGTGAATCTCAAGTTTTCCCCTTATAAAATTCAACTGAATTAATATGGAATTAAAGCTTTTTAAACGAGAAAGATTTTCTAAATGTGAGGTATCTGTACATCTGGATCTTGATTAAAAAAATTGTGAATAATTTTTTTATAAAGCTAACTTGGCTTAGTTTAGCTTCTCGAAGGTCCTCTTTAAATGGTTTTGACAACAACAAACTCTACTTTCATTTAAAGTAAACTTTGTCTAGTTTACAGTGAAGCAATTGTTAATTACTTATATTGAATATTTCTTTAGTTATCGCTTCCTATTCAATAAACAACATGGCTAACTTAAAAAAACACAAAATTTGAATTTCTTACTTTCTGATAAAAATTGGCCCATTGTTTAAATGAACTTTTTTGTAGCTTTTGAGGCCTCCTATCACCCTGTTTGTTAACACTTTTTAATCGGTCAGTTTTTACGAGGAATTTATTAGGAATAATATTTCTATCTGGTTTTAATGTAAGGTAAGGGGAAAAAAGATTTTCTCATTGTTTATATGAACTTTTTTTTAATTCTTGAGGTTTGCTATAGTCCTAATAAAATCTTTAAAAAATAGAAATTATGGTTACAACAGTAAAAAAAAAAATTAAACATTTAGGGTTAAACTCAGGGGAATAGAGGACAATTTAGGGAAAAATATATTGGGCCTTTATGATCATTTTTACTTTATTTTCGATTTGTAAAACATAAGCCTTTGTAGTGTATTTATTTTTTTAATACTTGCAAATTCGTTTGATTAAAAAAAATAGAATTTTACCCAAATTTTGCTGCTTCACAAAAACCTTCGCCACCTGATATTTAATTTTTTCTGTAAGTAAATTCGATACTATCAGAACTCTAATTTTAGAAAATTTGCTGGAATTAAAAAAAAAAATGGTTGTAGTATGTTTTCACATATTGAGAGCTTGATAGAAATCCTTAACCAACCTCACGAAATATTAAATTGATGCTCAAACAGAGCCAGCTAATTTTTTAACCTATTCCGGTGGTTAAAGTTGTTAAGCTGAAGATGTTAGATTATTACCATATCTTTTATCAAACCGTGAATACTGTTTGAAATATTTTCATGGGCAAGCCCTCTTCTCACAGAAGCATGATAATAGTTTTAAATGATTCCATAGCGGCAATAAAATGCATTACATATTTTAGGTTTATTAAAATTAAAAATAATTTTGAAATTTCCATTTAGTTTGGAAATTTAATTTTGTTTCCATGGAAACATTTCTTACTGTTAAGTAATATTATGTTTTAGAAATTATTATTCATAACTCTCCATTACCTTCTATGTATGTCTGTGTTAGATACTTATGTTCCTAAAACTTTTAGCTCTCCAACGATGTATTACATATTTATTACTAATAATATTTTCGAAAATTTTTTTTTGATCTGGGGATATTGCTTGTTTTTTTTTCTCCCTTTGTTTGATATAAAATTATTTTATATTTAGCCATATCTTATTACTATTACCCATAGCTGTTTTTTTTCAATGAAACAATATTAAAAGTACTTAAGAGGAAATCATTTTAATTATTCGACGTTTAAACCCTGAATGACTATCTCAAAGAGGATGAGACTTAGCTGGTATTAAAGATAATTTAATTGTAATTGATATAACGATTTTAATCGAACTCGTTTAAGCCATTTTCGAAAAAATATATGTAAAATGGATTCTATTAAGTCCCACTTCCGGTTAGCCGATTTTAGTGGAAAAGTTGATGTAGCGTCTCCGGTATTTATAAACTTTAAATATATAATTTCAATTTCGAACTACTTACTATTTTTGAGCGAGGTTATTCACATGCATATACACAGAGAAGATTTTACGAGATTTGATTATTTTGACTCAAGGGATCTCAAAAAGAGTATTTCCGTTGAAAACTTGGATTCGAAATTTTTCACTATCGTAGTACTTTTTCATTATCTTTCTATATATTTCACATATATATGGTTAAGTGGATACAAGAATAATGAAAACCCTTATTTTTTCTTAAATAAAATAAACTTCCGGTAGCTTTTCGAATAGAGAAACTTGAATTGTAAATGTCTATTTTAACTCAACAAGATATTAAAAAAAAATACTGATCCTATGAATGTATCTCCGGTTTTATTTGTTTAATCCATTTCTTTGACTAAAACAAGGTTAAATTTACTTTAAAAAAAAAAAGAGCTCTTTATGATGGCCTGTACAATCTAGAGCTCAAAAATATGGAGGGTAAAGTAAAATGAATTGCTTCAGGAAAAAAACAATAATCGGTATCACGGTATAATGAACGCATGCAACGTGAGGAAGGTATTACGACTTATATAAATATTCTTCGTTCAAAAACAATAATAAATATCTTAAGGAAGCTGAGTAATGTGATTCTTGTCGAATTTGTAGTAAAAAAACACAAGATTCTTGTCGAGTTTAGTATTTTTGTTAAAAGAAATACTTAGACTATTAACAACTAATTTAATGTAATAATAAAATGTTTAATATACCTTTGGCCATGCATATAATTCCAAATAATGAAATAGATAATGTTAATAATCTACAGGCTTCTTTGGGCATCTGAAATTAGCACTTTGCTCTCCGAATTTTACTTTTCTAGCAGACATAGGTTTTATGGAACTTTAAAATATTTATTTTAAGACACCCTTTAAATGTTGAAGGCATCATATGTTGCTATAAACACCTTATAATTAACAAAGCAATTGTCATAAAGAAGTAGACCGTAATAAAATTCTTTTGAAATTATTGATTCCCATTCTTGTCGTTTGAAATTGGCGGCAGAATGATCTAGAATTTTCCTAGTCATGGTTAGTGTGATTAAGGTAGCAGTGAACTATTGATATTAACGTTCTATTGGTTTCTCAACTTCACATGTTCTAGAACTTTCTGCCGGTTCAGTGCAGAAAAGCTGTGTCCTTTCAGTTAACGTTTAGTGCTCTAACTGTGTTGACCCCGTCTCTGTCGTTTTGTACCGTGTTTTAAAAGCGATAGTGTTGTAAGCAATGGCTGCGATGTCAGTTATAGGAATTGATTTTGGAAATGAATCTTGCTATGTAGCAGTTGCTCGTGCAGGTGGTATTGAAACGATCGCAAACGATTACAGTCTCAGAGCTACTCCGTAAGTATTTATTAATTATTATGTTTTATGATAATATTTGCATTGAGTTATTAATGATTTATCGTTATTGTTATTGAAAATTCACCTATAAACTTTTTTCTATTGGTATCACCTAATGAGGTTTCATTTGTGATTAGGATTGTTTACTTCTGCCAAGTAGTTAATGATTTGTTTAAACTTGACACCTGGGCTTTAACTGAGTCAACCCACATCATTCAGGCTTAGTTCCAAATAAGGATTTGTTATGATAATTCTACAACCACCTTCCTGACTCACCATTCCAAATTTTCTTGTAATACAGTGTTTCCAAGGTCAACTAAAATTGTTGATATGTTCAAAGTTTATAATTTTCATTTATACTGCCAATGGTGGAGATTTCATTGATTTAATAAATTCAAACTTAACTGAGAGGAAAATTTTGTACTGGTGATAATAATAGGTGGTTCATATAATTCTTAAAAATCACTACATATATATAAGAATATTCCAGAAAAAATATAATATATTGTAATTTTATGCATTTCTTTCACTTTAGTTTACTGTTTGTGGTAACTAATGCAGAGTTCTGTTTTTCAAGATTGTTTAATCAATATTGTGGTCATGATAAGATATCATTATTGTACAGGTTATTTTTCATTCTATCAATTTTTGTTCGAATATTTTTGAGTAGTTTTCTTTTTATTAATTTTTAACATGACTAATAATTTTATAGAACTTATATTTATTATTTTTCTGATAGTAGAGCTTTACTTTGGTACTCGCAACTAAGCTTTCGCCATTAATACTGCTCTTGTATTGTTTCAGATCATGTGTAGCATTCAGTGGTCGGAATCGAATTTTGGGGGTAGCAGCAAAAAACCAGATGGTAACAAATATGAAAAACACAATCCATGGTTTCAAAAGATTACTAGGCCGAAAGCTTAATGACCCCCAAGTAGAAGAAGAACTTAAAACTCTCTCTTACAGAACAACCCAGTACAACAATGGAATTGGAGTAAAGGTATGTTTTCTCTTATTATTTTCATTCTAGGTCACATTTCTAATTTGGCTAAGTTTGGCTGAATTTCTAAAAATGGCTAAGAGTATCTTGATAGTCTAAGGCAACTGATCCTTATTTATAAGGGTTAACTAAAAAGGTTCCCTTTGGGTTATGATATGTTTTCTAATTAAGGGCCTGATATCAACGGATAAGGAATCATATTTAAATTGTTTCATAAACCATAGTTTCAGAACCTTTTAATTTTAAGATATACATTTATCATGTTTAAATCTTTCTTAATTATTTTAATCTAAAATATTGTAAGCCGACATTATTGATATTGGCTTGTTGAATTAGAAGTTCTTTATATACTTTAATTTTACTTCCTCTATTAATAAGGATGTAGTTTATTTATTTATGTCATTCTATAACATTGTTTTCCTTGAAGGTCAATCATATCATATTGGTAAACTCAATGTTATTTATTTTGAATTTAAAGGGAAAATTTGGCCTATTCGTAATCTTGGTGTAATTATCCTTTAGTAGTTTCATATCAGGATGACAGGTTGGTCAAGATCACACGGTCATACTGTTCTTGGAATGTTGATGTTTATCTGTTTTTTGACAGACTATTTCCAACACAACTAAATATATAGGCCTCAAGACATTAATAATATTGAATCCAAGATTTAATATATTATAATGACCAAGGGTATTTAGGTTTATGCTTATAGATATATTTAAATAACCTGGTTATCAATCATTTAGCAGTATGATATAGCCAGATAAATAAAATATAATTTAATATATTTACGTAAGTTTGAATTTAGTATTATTTAGTAGTATAGTATATTTACAAAATGAAAAATAGATAATAGTAACAAGTTAATGGAGATAAGATATTATGTTAAGATTTTAGCAATAATTATTACAAGAAATTAAACATATTGTAAACTTCTCTATTTCACACCAGTCAAAAATAAATGGAATATATAGATTTTTCTGGAATTTCTTAATTTTTGCTGGCACAACATTAAATTGTTCTTTGGGCATTGCTTTATTTTTTCGATCATTTCCTCAATTTAATTCCAATTGTTTTTAGTAAATTCAGAGTTATGTTTATCAAAGTTAGTGTGCTTATTAATCTGAATAAGTGCTAGGAGTTATCATCTTACCTGGATTATCGTTGGTTAAAGCAGTATAGTTATATTTATTTCGATATTTTTAGTAATTATAGAAAATAACTTTATTCTGGTACAAAGTCGCTTTAGAATAACAGGATAGTACAAAATTAAAATATTGCATCTGTCCTAAATAATAAGAAAGATACTTTTTTTTTGTTTTGTTCAATATAACTTTAATGTTAGATAAATTGAAATAATAAAATGATTCATAATTGTCATCAGTAGGTAACAAAATTGTGATAATTTTTGGAGTACTTTTTCTATCTTTTGAACTTTGATTCTGTCGAGATAAAATCTATGTAAAATTCAATTTATTTTTTATCTGAATCATTCAATCAAACATTTTCAGATTCATTTTATAGTTTTAGTGGTTTTGTATATTTTTAATCTAAAACTAAAAACATGAATGTTAATTTCTCTTAAAAACAGAGAAATTAAGAGAATAGTTTTGGAGGATAAAGTTGCCATGTCTCAAATTTGCTTTATGGCTTTAAATGATGAAAGATTAAGATACTTGATAATTTAAAATAGAACTGTCAAAAGGTTACTTTGTTATATATGTGAAAGTCAAATTTTTGAACTTAGTTCCCTTCTCCACTCCCTCTCCTTCTCCAATTCAAATTGAAAAATATATATGAGATCATGATGGTCAAGGATATAAATATGTAAACTTTAACATTCCCAGTTCTAGTGAAGCAGGTTCTAATACGAGATGGGTCAGTTGAAATTTATTTCATGACAGACTCATGGATTGAACGTCAATCTTTTCACTCTGAATAGATTTGGTTGTTTTTCAAAACAGCCCCCTCCCCCCCTCTTAGTGTTATCAAAGAACAAGTTATGAAAATTTTATTAATTTTTTTTCTTTATTGTGTTATTATAAATTTAGTCAACAAATGATTTAGTTGGCATTTCCTCCCACTGTCAATGGAAGTATATCTGTCAGGAAAAAAACATGAGGAAGTTAAAATTCCCAATGGTCAGTTGATAGGATGTTTATCAGTCACGAAAAATTCTGGAAAAATTTAAATATGATTGGAATTCTTAACAGTTAAAAATTTTTATTATTCTCTTTTAAAGGTAAATTTAGATGCTATGGCTATTAAAATGTTTTGTAGGTGATGTAAAGTTAGACAAATTATAGGGTATAATTACATATTTAATGTTTGTCATAACAAAGAGAATAGTTAAAAAGTTTTTAAAACCTTTATAAGTAATTTTGTAAAGTTGATGTATATTTTTTATTTTATTTTCTGTTTAGGTTAATTATATGGACGAAGAATACACATTTACCCCAGAACAAATCACTGCAATGCTTCTTACTAAGTTGAAGGAAACCTCTGAACAAGCTTTAAAGACTAAAGTTAACGATGTAGTTATATCTGTAAGCTGTTTATATTTATTTAATTAATTTTTATTGAAGTAAAATTAAACTTACGAGTATTTTACTTGTTAAATTGTAACTTTGTTCCTTGTTTTCATCTATAGGTACCATCTTATTTTACTAACGCTGAAAGAAAAGCACTGTTAGATGCTGCTCATATTTCTGGATTAAATGTCTTACGCCTGATGAATGAAACCACTGCTACAGCCCTCTCATATGGTATATACAAGCAAGATTTACCTGCTCCCGAAGAAGAACCCAGAAATGTCATTTTTGTTGACTGTGGTCATTCTTCCCTCCAAGTATCCGCTTGTGCATTTAATCGTGGTAAACTAAAGGTAAATATGGATAAATCTTAAAGTTGTAAAGGTTTCATTTTTATAATATTTTTTTAATCTTATTCTTGTAACTATTTTTATTTCAACTTTAATGTTATGTTTTTCAGATGTTAGCTAGTGCATTCGATCACAAATTAGGTGGACGAGATTTTGATATAATTCTAGCAGAGCACTTCTGCAATGAATTTGAAACTAAATATAAAATTCGACCTAGGACTAATCCTCGGGCTTACTTACGTCTCCTCACTGAGGTTGAGAAATTAAAGAAACAAATGTCTGCTAACTCAACCACCCTACCTTTGAACATTGAGTGTTTCATGGATGACAAAGATGTTCATGGAGATATGAAAAGGTTTGTTTGATTATTGCAAGTTTATTAGTTTAGCTTTATGGATGCATTAGATTAAAGGTTAAATTGAATTCTTTTAATTAATTCTTTACTCATTGTTCTATTTAAAATACTTTAATACCTTCTATCGTATTATTTCAGTCCCAGAATAAAATTATTTTTCATTTCATTATTATTATTATTCAGTAAAATTTATTAACAAGTTTATTTTGAATATAAAGTTTTTGTTAGATCTAAATGTTATCATTATTTTAGTATATTCAACCCATACCAGAAATTCTTATTCCTGGTCTATTATAATTTTTAAGTTTTGATGGTACTGCACTCATATATTCATTAAAAGATATAAAAAACAATGTATTTTCCCTTTTTAGTACTATTACATGTAATATATTAACTCTACTTATCTGACTATTTTTAGAACCGATATGGAAGGTCTATGTGCTCATCTATTCCACAGGGTGGAATTATGTCTTAAAAAATGTTTAGAAGACTCAAGTAAGTATCTGGAATCATACTAGAAAAAACAGCTACATTATAAATAACATATCTTGTTGATGAAAACTGTTCTTGTTTTTAAGGATTAAAATTAGATGAGATACATAGTGTTGAAATAGTTGGCGGTTCAACTCGTATACCTGCTATAAAACAGTTGATAGAATCAGTCTTCAAAAAGGGTGCATCAACGACTTTGAATCAAGATGAAGCCGTAGCCCGAGGGTGTGCTCTTCAATGTGCAATGCTTTCTCCTGCTGTGCGTGTAAGAGAATTTTCCGTTGGTGATGTGTATCCTTACTCAATAAGCCTTTGCTGGGATTCTCCGAATAAAGAGGATGGGTTAGTATTTGTACTTTTCAATTAATCAGCTTCAAAGTTAATTAAAGATTGCATAATTGATTTCTTTTCTTTGCATTTTATTAAAATCTTTAACCGTTAAATTTATCACTGTAATTTTGCTTATCAATTCTACCGTAATGTTAGCAAATTAATATTACTTTATGAATAAAAACTGTCTTCCTTTTCTTTTTAGTAAAACTGAACCTTAAGCCTGATTTTTCTATTGTTTTGATTTGTTCCAAGTCTAGAGTTCTTTTAATAGTGTTTCACTTCTATATTACACCATACGCATTTATAAGTGCACCAAATTTTTTAGTTTAGATTTAAATCATGTCATCACATAAACAAAAAAAAAAAATATATATATATCCTTACACATATGTATAAGGAACAAGTAATATTTTAAAAAATTAGTTTTATTGGAAACATTAATTAAGTGTGACAACCTGGTGGTTATAAAAATACTAAAATAGTAAAAAAAAAATTTATTTAAATAGGTGATAAATATTCAGGATGCAGTCTTTTTTTTTTTTTAATTTAATTTTTTATTTATGCCAACGTTTGACTCAGTACTTGAACACCCTCAGTGCTCGAACCACGCTCTGAAGATGACCCACATGTTTGGGTTGAAACGTTGGTATAAATAAAAAATTTAATTTAATTTATAAAAAGACTGCGTCCTGAATATTTATCTCCCATGATAAGTAGAATAGTCGACTAACTTCCTTCAATATTTTATTTAAAGCCAACGTTTTAGCCAACAGAATTATTTTAGAATAGAAATTAATTAAATGTTAAATTTAGGGGTTGATAGGGCTGTAATCAGTGATAAACTGCATTAAATTTTTTACTCTTTGTGTTCATCAACATTTAATGATAACATCATCCTCTGGATGTCATTAATGATTCTTCTTTATTACTTCTAATAAAATAATTATTATTCAAGATAAAACCATCTGATATTTTTTGAATAACTCCTGAATCCAATTTTTTTATTTTAACTTTTCGAAGCAGAAATATATCACTGTTAAAATTTCTAAACAAGCTATCTATGTTGACATGTTTCAGTTAAATGAAAACTTGAACATACAATGTTGCTGAGGAAAGATGCCGAACAATAAACACTCAATGTGTTAGGCCATTTCAAGTTAAATAATTCATGGTTTTATTTTATAGATATTGTATTTTTTTATATATTTCACATTCATATTTAAAATAGTATTTTTTGTTTGATAATATATTAAAATTGTTTTCCTGTTGTTTTAGGGTATTGGAGGTTTTCCCCAAGTTTCATGCCATGCCATTTAGCAAAGTTCTTACCTTCTATAGGAAAGAAAACTTTGATATCAAGGCATACTATAATTGCAATACACCTTATCCTGATAGGTTTATTGGTAAGCATTTCCAATTAATATTTTTCTTAATTTATTTTAGTTTCCGACTGCTTATGAAGAAATGATTTTTTTTTTTTCAATATTAAATTTAAAGGTTATATGAGAATTATCACAGCTTTTATTTGTGAGTTCTATAAGTGCAATTAATGTCGAAATAGTTGAAGAAAAACTTGGATCATCGTTAATGTCATGACTGCGTTAAGAGTAGTTATTATTTTTCTAAAAATTGGTGAATACAATACCATTTAAAAGTGACTGTTACGACAGTAGTGAATTTTTGTGTATAAAGCTGTGTACACACTTAAGCATTCACCCCAATTTAAGTATCATATCACTGTAAACTCTAATAATACAATTTTTATATTTTAATAGGTCAGTTCACCATTAAAGATGTCAAACCAACATCTGAAGGTGAATCCGCAAAAATTAAAGTGAAAGCTCGCATAAATCTTCATGGTATAGTATCAATTGTCGGGGCATCACTCGTTGAAAAGAGAGAGGCTGAAGTTGGAGACGAAGACTCCTCCATGGATGTTGATAGCAACAATCACAGTAAAGATGAACAACAGCCACAGGAGAATGGACAAGTCGACCAGGTAATTTATGCTTGTCTTGTTGCATGGCTGGCTGCTAGCTGTAACAATTATTTTATTTTAATCAGATTATTGAGCAGTCAGTTGACTTGAAATTTACAACTTCATCTTTGACTATAGTTGTATTTTTTTAAATGCTGAGTGTTCCTACGAATATGATGCCACTAAGTTAGTAAAGCTCTGCCTTCACAAACTGTCAACATTTGAAATATTGATATGATTCATTCCTCATTATACACCCATTACCTATTACTTAAAACAGGCTATTGTTATAAGTAGAAATGGAATAAGTTTTATCTTATATTTCTAACTTGAGTAAATTTCACTCATATAAAATTTCAATAAGCTAACATACTATTGTCAAATTTGATAGTTTTATCATGTATGTATGTCTCATTGATACTTAGCATATTACATTAAAATCTGTTTTTATTTTTGTCAGATTTATCTTATTCATTCAAGTGTGGGTAAATACAATATTCATCTACTTTTATGCTCTATCTTAAAAAAAATATTGAAACCAGGGTACTTTCCGTATATATATTACTTCACCAAATTTTCCCCATAAAAGTATTTCAGAATCCTGCAATTTCAAAATGTCCTTTTTAAATTAGTCTTGATTTATATTAATGTAATACGCCTAGATAAAAATAATTAGCATGAATCTTAAAAGGAGAAAAACAATTATTTTTCTATCGTGGTAAACATGTATTTTACTATAATATAAAACAATTCCTTCAGTCCTTAGGACAGGAAAATTTATGTTCACAATATGGCAAGAAAAGGAGAGTTGAAGAAGGGAAATGTGATAGTCAAAATAATTTCAATGAAGGCAACGATAAAGGAAGTGCTACAGTTGATTCTGAAAAGGAAACAAAAATGAAAGAAAATGTTTCTCGTAAAAATGACACTGCACATACTAATTTATCAGGCTTTAATGGTAAAAATGAACATGACAGTTTTCAGACATCTTCCATTAAGACAGATCAGGTAAGTTTATTTAAAAAAAAAAGAAGAAAATTCATGGATGGAGAAAAGCCTGTCAGTTTGTTGTTACTAAATATGTTCGCATGCATATCTATGTACCAGTAGATCAATGTTTCTTAAGTTTTTAAAATCAGTGAGGTAAACTATTACTAGTAAAAAGGATTAAATTTGTTGTTATGAACGTTGTGATTAAATGCCATTAATATATAAGGTGTAATACTTAAGAGATAGGTAAATAGTCGACTGATCAATTTTGTTTCATCTATAAGGTTTAATAAATCTTTTATGTATGATTGGTTATTTAAATTTTAAAAAGGTTTAATTTTTAAACATATATATTTTTTAATAATTGGTAATTGGTTGACTGTCGTGGATAATGAAGAGAAGAATAGTTGGGGTGCTCAGTCAAAAAAGGAAGGCAAAAAATAAATTATAATATTTATTTTTTACATATGCCGACGTTTCGACCTGAAGTTCAGGCCTTCATCAGGGCTAAGAAAATAACCAGATAACAAGGTATGAGAAACATAAGTAATGATGGTAAAAAAGATAATAAAAAATGAGAAAATAAAATAAAAAAAATATAAAATATATAAGAAAAATAAAATAGATAGATATAAAGTAAAATGAAATTGTTAGAATAATGACTAAAAACTAAGAGATAAATAATATAAACTGTTACATAGTATGGAATGATGAAGTAGGCATAATCAAAAAGGGGTGACAAAAGTGTTACATTGGGAATCTTAGAATAAAATGTAAAAACATAAAAAAGGAATATAAAGTTATATAAGAAATGAAAATAAAATAAATAGTAAAATTAAAAACATTGAGAATGGAGTAGTTAGATAGAAAATTGAGATATTATAATTTATTTTTTGACTGAGCACCCCAACTATTCTTCTCTTCATATATATTTTTTGTTTTCATCTACTGACTAATTCTGTTTCTGCATCATAGTTTATTAACTTGTCAGAATATTTTTTAGTATTTCATGTACTATTGATTTGGTGGTAGTTATTTATACATTCTTCTTAAATTCTTAAAAAACCTGGTGTGCGCAACCCACAACTTTCACTTACTGTTCAACTTTGAATAGGAATTATTTTTATTTGGCCATGTTGGGCTATTTTAAAGTTTTTGAATTGCATTTTTAACCGAGTTAAAGCTAAAATCTTACAGCTAACAAATTATAAATACCATTAAAGTAACAAAAGTCGTATTTATTATATCACCGGTTGATTATGGATTGTACGATCCGTTGATCATGAATTGTATGATCCGTTGATTATGGATTGTACGATTTGTTGATTATGGATTGTACGATTTGTTGATTATGGATTGTAATACTATTAGTTATTAAACTGTTATTTTCTATTGCAAAGTTTATAAAATGGAATTAAGAGATTTGCATTGTCTGTCATAAATAGGTCAAAAGTTGTCACACTAATTGTAAGTGCATACTGTTGGAGTATCACAAAGGAAAAATTTATCAAATTATTCACAAATATAATTCTCTAAAAGGTTACATGATGATTTTTCGGAATAAACGGATGATAGATACTTAATTATTTAGATATAATATCAGATCTAGAGTTATTAAACTACAGTAAATATATTTAAGGTTATAAACATATCCATGAAATATTTTTATAGTTCACTTTTTCTTTCACACAAGTACAATGAAATAGTATCTTAAACAATGTCGTTACCTTGAATCAGTGGATTTTAAATACTTTTTCAAACTTTTTTTTTTGTTTATTTTTTTTATTCACACCTGTCATAATGGTAATGACAACCAGTGAATATGAGGTTGACTGGAAAAAAATAATGTCATGAAAGGCATTACGAGGATCAGTGCCCAGCGGCACCTCACTCGGCATGATGTAATTATTTTCAAACTTAAAAATAATTGTAAAAGTTTACATTTAGTAAGAAAATTTCATTTAATTCCCCTGAAAACACGTTATTTACGTTAAATAATGTTAGTTTTTAGAAATTATTATAAATAATTTTTTCTCCACTCTCCATTACCAACTACAAATTTCTATATTAGATATTATTTTTTCTAAAATTCTCCGCTTTCCAACAATATATTATGCTTATGCTTTCTGTCTAGTATTTCCGGAGATTTATTTTTGACCTAGATAACCATTTTTATTTTTTTCTCCTTTATTCAATTATCAAATTCTTTCACAAGTTATATTTAGCATTTAGCATTGTAATTCCTAATAATGTGAGATAGTTAATTATTTAAAATAAACTATATAAAAGATACTTTAGAGGAAGACGTAAATGAACATTTTGTATTTAAGCTCTGTAAATTGACATGAATGAGGATAAGACCGAATCGATACTAAAGATCACTTAATTATACAATCATATACCGAGTTTAATCAAAAGGTACTTAAACTAGAATGTTCTTCGTTTCTGTATATCTTGATTTTAGACCTATATTTATTACAAATTGCAGCATGTCTCTCTTCAAGTCATTTAAGGCTGCTGTCCACCATTGAGCTCTTCCTTTATGGAGCTGAAGAGAGATCTTAGCAGCATTATGAATAACGTTGGAACCCTGTAGTCAAGATAGTCTATTCCATTAGCATCCGCCTCCTCCCTTTCTTCGTCCACTATTGTTCCCTCCAGTGTGCATTTAAAGGCATCTTTATCACTTCTAGTGACATTACCTTTGTTGATGCCTTGGGAACATCCTGATTCTTGCAACATGTTAAAAGCTATTGCATTTTGGTCTGAACTCATTTCAGATTTGATGGTCCATTCAACAATGTACCTCATGAGTATTGGCGGAGCTAGTGTCGCATTGATCCAATTGTGACCCGATCCTCCACAAAAGATGGGTGTGTCAGAAGGTTTGTTAATCACAACTAGTTGGTTTTTTGCAACAAAATCATTTATCTTTGTGCCTTCTCAATCTGTGTAGTTTAATCCCCAGTCAATGTTTCAGAAGTTTTTACCTGAGTATACAATCGCATTCTTCCTCATTTCTCTTATGATCTCTTCCATGACTGTAATACTTTCCTCAATGTCATTCCTATCGGACATCTATGCTTATATTAGCATGAATACCATGCTGTCCCATCTGACAGAATGATGCATAGTCCACTATGGTGTATTGCTCCAGATCCATTTGTGATCACATGTAATAAAATATGTAATCACACGTTGTTATGTAACTCAAGTTTATTTTAAAAATAATTTTGCTTAATCAAAAATGTGTCTTCTCCCATACATTTTGGATTATCAAGATTCAGCTGTATTTGTACAATTGTATGTATGTATACAGTTTTTATATATAAAATTTTATTATTTTACTGTATTAAATTTCTAACAGTGCTTTTTATTATAAGTTATGAGTCATTAAATGATTTTAATTGTCAATCACAATACTAATTGTCCATGCTACAGACCTCTTTTTATCAAATTAACATAATCCTGAAACTTTGTAAATAGCTTCATCTCATCGTAACCTACAAATATTTTATTTACCAAAATTCTCGGAATTGGAGCATTTTCAATCTGGAGTTCAGCAAATTTTGTCTATTTAATTAGGTAATAAAAACCCGTAAATACCCATTTGCTATCCACTTGAATTGTAAGATGATATGATCACAAAATCGATAAAAAAATAGGTGGCCTACAAAAACATTGGGTCGTTTGGTCTATATAACCTAATTATTTTGAAAATTTGGAGGTGTAGGTCATGCCAAACAGCTCAATATTTTTGAATGCAACCTTTTTTCCTGACTTTTTGCTCAAGTTATTTTACGATTCAAGTGGAAAGCAAATGGGTTCTTATGAGTTTTTTTTTAGTTTCTTATTAAATAAACAAAGTTTGCCAACCTCCAGATTAAAACGCCCCATTTCCAAGAATTTTGATAAATAAAGAATTTGTGGGTTATGATGAGGTAAAGCTATTTATGAAGTTTCAGCGAGATGCTAATAATTTGATAAAAAAAAGGACTGTACCACGGACTATAACCTTTAGTTTTTAACAA